TTTAAGAGAGAAAGTGGCACATGGTGCCCTGAAACTCTTCTCAATAAAAATCTATAATATTTAGAGCAAAGCTGTATCTCTACTGTAGCACTAATATGTTCAATTTAATTCAACTCAATCCAATCCATAAACTATGTTATTTATCCCAAACATAAATTAAATGATTTATACACAATCAATGATAATAAAGTAAAAAATCTTTTTGACTAGGTCATTTAAATCCCATGTTAACGAGTATTCTAGAATTCCCTTCTTTTATCTGTGGAATATTGCAAAAAATTAGAAATATTCTGTCCAGGGGTGATGCTGAGAAACTAGTCCATGCATTTGTTACTTCAAGGCTGGACTACTGTAATTCTTTACTATTAGGAAGTCCTGTTTGGCTGTGACACCATACTGGAGAGAAATATCAGCTATGCTGCTGCCATCTGTTTCTCAGACTGTGAATGGCTGGATGTGCTCCCTTCATCCTCTGACATGGTAGTTGGCTCAGAGCTCGTCTGCCTGACTGTGTCTTACTAGCCGGGGCCTCCTTTTACAGTTGCTGTTTGTATCTCTGCTTCTGTCTCCTTAAACCCCAGTCGGCTCGGGCAGATGGCCACTCACACTAAGCCTGGATCTCCGGGAGGTTTCTTCGTGTTAAAAGGGAGTTTTTTCCACTCCACTGTCGCTACAAGCATGCTTAGTGTGACGGCTTGCATTCGAGGCAATGAGTCAATGCAATCAACTGCTTTTCCATAGATAGAAAACTTTGATGTATGATCTAGTTGAACTGTAAAGTGTCTTGAGATGACGGGTTGTGAATTGATGCTATATAAATAAACTGAATTGATTGGGGTAAAAATAACTATGGGTAAAAAAAAAAGAATTTTAGAAACTTATGGTTATGAATTGCAAAGTAAAAGGCCATATTAAAACAGAAAAACTAAACATGTTAGAATTAGCCTTGAAGTATAAAAAAAACTCTCCAGATAAAAAAGTAAGCAGTAGAAAGACGTGCTTATATAATGTTGTAGCCGTATACACTGACTTAGTAATATTTATTAAAGAATTGAAAAATATTCAGTAATAATTTTTTAGATTAAAACTGTACTGATGAGCTGTTGTCANTGGATGGATGGATGGATGGATGGATGGATGGATGGATGGATGGATGGATGGATGGATGGATTCCCTTTCAGCAACACCAGTGATTATCAAGATTACAAGCAGCAAAATAAAATATAGAAATCTGTCCAACATACTGTTGACAGCCAAAATCTATGTATGTATTGAATGTTTTATTTTTAAAATCAATTATACACTAATATTTACTCTATTATTTGTGCTTTAATTCTTGTAGGTTTCTTATATTTTAATTAGAAGGCTGTGTCATGTGAGTCTGGCTGCCTCAGGGTTTGGTGACACAGCTATATCTGAGTGTTGCTGAATTATAAAAGACAAAATACTTATGGTGAATCTAATTATATCATAGCACATTTTTGTCGTAGTAAACTTTCTGGTTAACTTACAGATACAGTATATTGTATTGCATGTTGCATATCTCAGTAAATCTGTTTAACATTTAATTCTGAAGCCCTCCCTATTTGTGACTTTATTCTCTGCTTAATTACAGATGAAATACAGATTTATGAACCCGTTTGTGTGTGTGTGTGTGTGTGTGTGTGTGTGTGTGTGTGTGTGTGTGTGTGTGTGTGTGTGTGTGTGTGTGTGTGTGTGTGTGTGCTATAAAAAAATGCACTTTTATAGCTTGTGCACAAACATGGCTACATTTTGCACAACTAATTTAAAGAACTATGATCTGTTTTATGTAGCCTGTTTTCAGATCTCTTTTAAAGTGTATACAACTAATTTTGTTAATCAGATCTGAACGTTGATAGTCTTGGCTGCTGCAGCTCCCTCTTAGATATCTACACACAGTTCTTGGTTTAAGAGAGAAAGTGGCACATAGTGCCCTGAAACTCTTCTCAATAAATTCTATAATATTTAGAGCAAAGCTGTATCTCTACTGCAGCACTAATATGTTCAATTTAATTCAACTCAATCCAATCCATAAACTTTTATTTATCCCAAACATAAATTAAATGCTTTATACACAATCAATGATAATAAAGTAAAAAATCTTTTTGACTAGGTCATTTAAATCCCATGTCAAAGAGTATTCTAGAATTCCCTTCTTTTATCTCTGGAATATTGCAAAAAATTTGAAATATCCTGTGCAGGGGTGATGCTGAGAAACTAGTCCATGCATTTGTTACTTCAAGGCTGGACTACTGTAATTCTTTACTATCAGGAAGTCCACAAACTATTGTTAAAAGCCTTCAGCTGATCCAAAATGCTGCAGCCAGAGTTCTGATGAAAATTAAAAAGAGAGGTCATATCTCTCCGATCCTGGCTTCTCTTCATTGGCTTCCTGTTAAATCCAGAATAGAATTTAAAATCCTCCTTCTCACATATAAAGCCTTAAATGGCCAAGC